TCAGCAGGACATGAGTTGGGGACTTTTTAGCACCTAAGCTCATTGCTGTATTTCCTGTGGAGCTGAGCTAGTGCTTCATTGTCTAAGGGGCTGGGAAAGAAGGTTCTTTCACCTGCTTCTCAACAGTTTGGATTTCACACAGCACTCTACACAGCACTGTTGCTTCTAGAGATCAGGAGACTCCTTTGAGACTTTGGAAGAACATTCTGTAAGCAGATTCTCTTCATTTCAGGAAACCTGAGGGATAAAAATGTCTGCATAGATGCATCCTTGATTTCCAGTGAACCCTCCTGTTTCAGCAGACTTCCCCTGGTGTTTGCCTAGGGGCTGCACCCGACTTGCCAGCGCCAGGAGGGTCACGATACCCAGGTGGTGCCTCCGCCTGTCTCTGCTCCCAGTCCTCAAGAGCCTGCATGAAGGCTGCTGCAGGCCTCTTGGGGTTCCCCACCTCCCGAGCACAAAGGAACTAGTCTGATTAAGAAACATGTTGCCTCTGCAGCAACAAATAGAAAAGGAAGTATAAAGATGGCTGACAAGACACGAAGGGTGGTGTGGGGGAGAAAAGGGAGCGCCTGGCACACACTAACTGCCCTCTATTGTCAGTGTTTGCAAAGTCAGGCCCAATCCAGCACTTTATAGTCAAACACACAGGCTGCGTGGATGCTGACATCTCTCCTAAACTGCATCTTTCCTTCACCCCTCCTCAGCAGAACTCCCATCTATATAAAATATGTGGTGTAAAAAGCTGTAAAATCCCTTAAGTTGTAGTTCAGGGTGTTGAAGGTTCCTCTTCAGCTTTTTCTTTTCATCATCATAATAAAAAAAAAAAAAAGTAATACCCCAGTACCACTACAAAGGGGTAACACTGAACTTCAGAGCCTATTTCTAGGATCCCAATTCAAAACCAGCACAGCCAGGAGTGGCCTAAGTTGCTCACACTGGACATAATGGATCAACCCAAACCAGCAAGCTACTAATCCTTCACACCGACCACCCAGCCAACTGCCTGAAGGGTCTGAGGATGGTGCGCACTGCAGCTTCTCTAATGACACTGACACTGCCCTTCCTGCTTCTACACAAAGACAAATACAACTTCAATGAATGTTTATTTATTTCTGTGTAATTGAAGTGGAACCTGGAGGGGAACAGAAGGAATAGGGTTGTATAAAACCCCTGTTTTACTTGAAGGTGAATTCTTCCCCACAACACTTATAAACTGAAATAAGTTAAACCAAACTGAAGACAGTTACTTCATGCCATTGATGGAGATCTGCTCATTTCAAGCTTCTGTTCCACAACCTCACAAAAATTAGATCATTAGAAAAAATTACTAGGTGGGTTCTGGTCCACACATCCACAGGTACTGAAGAAAACTTAACATGGGCGATGGTCTGGTACACGTTTTCTGCAAAGAAAAAGAAAAATTAGAAAACCCTACCCCCACTGATGTCCACTAGCCCACTCACCCACCCTTATCTCTCAAGTCAGTATTTTGTGTCCAGCACTACCTTTATCTCACAGAACAAATGGGCAGCATCACTTCAAAGCTAATGCACCACCTCTGACCACGGTGAAAAAAAAGCTGTGATTTGCAAAATAGACAGTGGGCAGGCATGGGATAGGAAAACCTGCCTGCAAGTGGCATTGCTTCCCAAGCTTCTAAACAAATGTGGGTTTGTTTCAGCTGCAGGTTCTCCTTCAGAAGCAGCAGGGCTTTACCCTACAGTTGTTGCCAAAAGAATAAGGAGCAGCGTGACCCTGTACATGCTGGTCAGCCAGATGACTCTGCAGATGCCCAAGTACTGTATCTGGCACGCTCCTTTAGGCGCAGCAGCGGCCCAAGGGGCCTGCTCACACTGCTGACACAGAAGAGTCACGCAGCACAGACGCCAGTCTGTCAGGACAAGACCCTTCTGCACAGCTGCTCTTCCAGAGAGGGAGGTTACTCTGCTCCACCCCCACCGGCCAGGCAGACACTCTGCTCGTACCTTGGTGCTGCTTTAATGATGTCATCTACACGGAGAATCATTTCTGCTGCTTCGGCTGCGCTCAGCAAGACTTGCCTCTTCACTTGGAAGCTTTCTGTCACTCCCAAGGCTGCCATGTCTCCAATCACACCCTCTCTCATATCTGGAAGAAGAGGTCGCTTGTTTTTAACTTTTTTTTTTAAGAAATTAGAAGCAGCTGACGGTATGGTAACTCACCTGTTCAAATGAATCATACTGACAGTAAAGAAGTTATTAAATAAAAGTCTTTCACTTCAAGGCTACTGATTTAAGCCTAACATGTTGCAGTTACATGAAGAAACACTTGACGAAAACTTTACATACGGGGGAGGACAAGATCCCAACAGGATTCTCAGCACCATTTTAGGTATATCAACTTTGGAGTAGCTCTCCACAACTTTTAAGGTTTTTTTTGCGGGATGGGGTGTGTTTGGCTGTGTTGGTTTTGTTTGGTTTTAAATCACCTTTCTTTTTAAGCTTCATATAACTAGACTCAGTGTAAGTAAGGAAAGTGTTTTTTTACAGGTGGAAACCACCCCCTTCAAAACCAAAGTTTCTCACTCCATTGTGACACAGCTGGCAGAATAACAAAGGAATGTAACACTGGATGCTTACATTCTGTGCAAAGTGAACAGAAACCAACGTACTCTCTTCCTCCAGCTGAGCGTATCCATGACAAACAGATGTGACCAAGTTTAATAAAGACTAATTGCCCTCCCAAACAGTAATTCAGTAACAGAATGAACATCCAGCCACTTACCAAGTCCGTAAGTAGCCTTGCCCTCACTGTGAGCAGCTCTGAGCTGAGCAACCAGATCTGCACTGTCATAGCCAGCATTATCAGCTATTATTGTTGGGATCTGAGGGGATAAACACAGGTTGTTTGTAATTAATGCAGGCATTAATCCATAGCAAACATAAGGCCTACTTTGATATTAGTAGTTTACTACTCAGTTTCAAGAGGAAGTTTCAGAAACACAGCAGATGATCCATTACAGTGATCAGATGACAAGGAGGAAAAAAAAAAAAAAAATCAAAACTACCTTACTAAGGATTTTGTTCAAGACCCTGTTTATAAGAGAGCAGCTGAGGACAGAAGCAAGTTAACTTATCTGCCAGTTCGTTTTACACGGACAGAAAGAAATCTGTCTTTCTTATAATTGCAGACTACAACTGGAAAAGTGGTTTCATTTTTAGAACATAAGGTTGCTGGTAGCATTAACCACCAGATCATTCTCTTCACTGTTCAAGTGACAGCACTGTGAATTGCACGTGCTGACTGAACAGGTAATGCCAAGTCTTACCATGCTCTTTCATTTTCTTGGGAGAAATGTCTTCCTATGGTCTTTCATTTCCTAAGAGTGGTTTTTCCTAATTTAAATTACAGGAAGGCAATTTGTCTCAAATTGACAGTCAGCATGGTAATATTCTACAAACGTTTCTTGTGATACTCTTATTTCCTACTATGGTGCAACCTCCAAATCTAAAAACTTCTAGACACTACTGGAGTGTGAATACCACTAAACAGCACTAAAGTATCAACAGAAG